TTCCTTGGTAGATGGGATTACAGGCCAAGGAGGTTTCTATGAGCAAAGTGTAGGGGTGTACACCTGGAATCCCAGTATTTGGGAGATAGAGACAGGAGAATAAGGAGTTCAAGGCCAGGTTGGGACACACGAAACTCAAACAAAGCAAAACCAACAAAGACAAACATAAGGGAAAAAGAGGCCCAGTGGGTAAAGGTCCAGTGGGAGGCCCCGTGGGTAAAGGTGCCCGCTGCCAAGCCTGATAACCTGACTTTGATCCCCAGGATCTAGGCAGTAATAGGAGAAGAATGATTCCTCAAATTGTCCTCTGACCTAGGCACATGGACCCATAGACACATATCTGAATTTTTGTTTGTCAACACACACACACACACACACACACACACACACACACACACACACATTTCTTTAAGGGTGGGTTTTAAAATGCAGCTTCTGTCAGGCTTTCCTTGACCCTTGACACAGTGCACAGACTCCCCTTTGGGCCTATGCCATACTCTTCTAAACAGAGCTTGATGGGAAAGGGCACCCATGGGGCACAGAACGAGCAGAGCAGCAAAGCCTGATGGAAGATCACACACTGGCAGCAGCAATGAGACAGACTTTGGCCAACACACTGAGAACTTCCAACACAGTTGCAAACACAGGCCTCTTGGGTGTGACACTAGGGCCTGACGCTGGAAGGTGGATATGTAGGGAGCCAGTGTTTCCTCAAACACTAAACGGGTGGGGCGGCCACTCCACGGGGGATCCATGCTTCCTGGGCTGGAAGGGTCCATTCTGGGCCTCAGACTACCCAGCCTCTCCTGGTTAACTCAGAAGGCCAGCCTTCACGGAAAATGTGTCCCTGACCAGAAACAAGCACTGCTGAGGTGCCAAATACCTATTAACACCCTCTTTCTCCTGGGCCTGCACTCACTGGTTATATTTTACGGAAGTTGCTAAACAGACTTCCATCCCTCACAATCCAAATAGTTAACACCATTCACTGCACATTAGGCACTGTTCCAAGGACTTACTTAACCTAAATCCAACAGTCAACCATGGTGGCACTTGCCAGTAGGACATGCTGAAGAGGCTCGGGCAGGAGGATGAAGAGCTGCAGATCAGCCTGGGCTATACTTGCTGCCAAGCCTGATATCCTAAATTTGACCTCCGGGACCCAAACAGTGGAGGGAGAGAACCCACTCCCTCAGCCTGGCTTCTGGTCTCCACAGTAGTGCCATGGCATGTGCATGACCCCCTCCCCCCAATAAACAAATGAAATAAAAATCAATTAACCCTCATCAAGTAGGTACTACCATAGACTACTGCCAAGAGGAGGGGAATGAGCTCAGAGTGGCTAATTAACTTCCTCAAAGTCACAGAGCCTAGAACGGGCCCAGACAGCTGGTCTTGGAGGCCAGCTAAGAACCATTTCATCTGGAGCTGGAGAGAGGGCTTGGTGGTTAGGAACAGTGGCTGTACCTGCAGAGGACTGAGGTTCAGTGCCCAGCACTCACATGGTGGCTTGCTGTAACTTCAGTCCTAGGGGATCAGATGACCTCTCCTGGCCCCCAAGAGCAGTGCATGCGATTGCTGCACAGAACGTTCACAGGCAAACATTCTAACAAATAAGACAATAATTTTTAAGGGCCACTTTATCAGTGGGCTGAACCACTCTGATGGCATGCCTGCAGCCGGAGACTTCCTCACTGTGAACACATGGACAGTCTTTCCCCCAGCGGATCTCAAATTCCAGAACAACTGGAAGAAAGTGGCACTGGTTACATGGCAGGAGTGTGGAGGAAGCAGGGCCTCTGAGCACCGTGATCTTCAGGAGGGGTTTACAGAAGGCCCCAGAGAAGGTGATCTGTGAGGAAACACTATAAAGAATTGGGTAATCCTGGAACACTGAGTTGAGTCAGACTTGGTCCAATCCGCATGAGGCTGCCAGTCTGGAAATAGGGGTGTAGGTGGCACACCTGAGGTAAACAGAGGACCACAATATACTATGGAAAGGGCTTATAGGGACCCTGAGGAGAAAGGAGTTTGAGTCAATGTTGATGTAATCAATTGAAATTGTCAAGACAGGAAGAAGATGCTGGAGAGTAACGCAGAAAGGACATCAAGGCAAAGAAATCAGTTGACATGGAGCACAGGCTGGAGAGGTGGAAGCAGAAATGGCAAGGGAGGGCCTCAGGAGGGCATATTTGGCTGCACCGAGTAACCAAGGGTCCCCAAAGCCAGCCTGGTGATGTGGGAGTCTGTATTGGGAGTTCTGGGGAGCCTTGAAACACTGTCCTTTGTGTAGGAAGTTCCCAAGGCTGGATAAGAAAGGGCTAGAAGGGAGAGCCCACCATCCAGGGGGAAGGCTGGAGCTGGGTCCTCCATGAGACAGGGGCTCATGGGCTAGGGCCTGGGGCTGGAAAGGAAACAGTGGTGTATTAGGGTTAGGGCTGAGAACTGACTTCATGGGAGGTTAGGGGTTAGGAGAAAAGGTACCTGAGTCTGGCCCAGGTACTCAGATGAGCAAAAGATGGTACCAAAGAATCAGGCTAGCAAGGTCTGGCTCACTGACATCCTTAAAGGGAGTATTATCAGACACTGGCTGTGAGGCAGGAAACCGTGCACAGTGAGGGAGGGAAGCGCACCGACCTCGAGAGAAGGAGAGCGGCAGACAGCACGCTGTGTCCACCTCTTAGCTCTCAGTTCTCACTGGAACACAGCAAGGACAACCAGGGGCCAGACTCTGCACCAGGAGGACTAGAGATGATTCAAGGTGGTGAGGGTGCTGGACATGGAGCTGCAGGCCCAGCATCAAAGCCAGTTGAGAGTCTGAGGCCAGTCTGAGGCCCTGGCATGGTAGCTCACACTTGGAATCCCAGTACTCATGATGTAGAGGCAGTAGGATCAGGAGTTCAAGGTCATCCTTGACCTCAGAGTGAGTGCCAACCTAGACTAAATAAGACCGGCTCTAGTAGCTGGGGAAACAGCTCAGCGGTTAAGAACACTTGGTGCTCTCTCAAAGGAGCCAGGTTCAGTGCCCAACACATCCATCAGGCGGCTCACCATCACCTGTCACTCTGGCTTCAGGGGCTCTGATGCCCTCTTCTGGGTACCTATGCTTATATGTGCATATCTATACACATAGGCATAATTAAAAAATAAAATCAGGGACTGGAGAGATGGCTCGGGGGCTAAGAGCACTGGTTACTCTCCCAGAAAGACCTGGGCTACCCACAGGGTAGCTCACAACTGTATGTAAACTCCAGCTCCAAGGTATTCGACACCTTCATACATGTGCAGATGCAAGCAAAACACCAAAACACATAAAACACAAATAAATCATTTAAAAATGTTATAATAATAATAATAATAACAACAACAACAACAACAACAAAATGATAATTTAAAAAAATAAAAGAAAAAGAACTACAGTGGCGCGGCACTAGCCTGACCTAGCATTTGAGAGGTCCTGGGTTGGATTCACACACACACACACACACACACACACACACACACACACACACACACTAAAGAAATAAATGGTGGTTGAGTTTTAACCCAGAAACCCTTGTGTATCTCAATTAGTTTGTAAGTACCATCTCCGTCACAGGCTGTTAGAAGCCTGCTTAAGCCAACTGTCTTCTCTCTAGCAGACAGACAGAGAGCTAGACCTTCCTGGACTCCTGCTGCTTACCCAGCTGGGATCTGGCAAGTAACAGGGCCCCACAGGCCTCGGTTTCCTCATCCACCCTATGGGATTAAGGGTACAGGAGATGTACAAATGGACTGATCTTTGTACAAGACTTGTGTCTGCTGGTGCTTTGTACCCACTTCAACGTCTGCTGTTAGGGTCATGTCTGAATCTGTCTCCTGTATTTTCCTTATCTCATTCCTGGGGGGTGGGGTGGGGGGCCTTGTAGGGATGACGGCATTAATGTCAGTGTTGCAGCCAGTTTTCACCATTCTGGAAGGTTTCTTGGGTGCACAGTCCCTCTGCTAGGAAATTTTAAGGACACAGAGGTGAACTCCAGCATGATGGGGACAGACAGACAGACATGAACTGCCACCATCTTTTTCAGTTCTGGTTAGGCCAAGCACTGAGAGAGAACCCATTCTGATTCAATGCTGGCTATACCAGCTTCTCTGTGTGTGGAAGCCAGGCCCTCAAGGGTGCTGCCCTCAAACCTCTAATGAACAGTGAAATGCCAGACACTCTGTTGTTTCAGTCAAACTGGCTCCCTTGAACTTGCTTCTCCAGCAAACACAGGTCTCCTTCCTGTTCTAGGTAGAGAATTTCCTCAAGCATCCCATGGCTGTGTAAGGCACTTTCCGAGTTCCATGGGGCCAGATGGCTCCCCAGGTGCAGTACTTGTAGCGCGGGCAATGCAGCCTGGAAGGTGATTAATGACTGAATCGCAGGCCCCACATACAAGTCTCTATTCTGCTTCTCCCTTGCTAGGTGACTTCTTTGTGCTCAGTTTCTCCACGTGTTAAATAGCAACTATGACTCCTCCAGCCCACAGTTATCAAGGGACGGAGAAAGAGGAAAGCAGGATCATGACCTCAGGGGGATCTGATGGTCAGAAACTCACAGCCCGTGATCTTTGCTCCAGGTATGACTGACATTGGGTCAAAGGGCAACAGAAGCTGGCTTTTGAAAGGATCTCCCATACGGGGTACGCTCCCGACCCTGGAAGCTCATAGCTCAGGTCTCAGGGTGCTGGGACAGAGTGGGGTTGGGGAAAGTCACCTTCACAGCGAAGTCGATGACCCTCTTGACAGCCACGAGCGCGCGCAGCTCCGCCATCTTCTGCAGCAGTCACTGGCCCGGTTGGGTTGCATCTAATCCAGGCGTCCGGACACTCCGCCCCCATATCTGTCTCTGCGCCTGCGCGCCACAACACCAACCAATCAACCGCCGCGCAGCACGGAGAAAGTCAATGGGAAGTGGCATTCCGGGAGGAAGGCGGGATCCTGGGCGGATTGCAGAGTGTAGGGGGCGTGGCGCGGAAGTAGGGGAAAGGGCATTCATTCCCAGGCGTGAAGTTTGCTGAGAGCTTTGCTAGTTCGCGGTCTTTTGCTCGTGTTGTCCCAGGTCTGCAGTCCACATCTAGGTTCCCCCTTGCTCCACCACTCCAGGTTTCTGTGTCCGTGCTCCCACGCGCACCCTGTGTCTTTCCCCCCACGCTCCAGTTGCCTCCGCGTTCTGTCTGGATTCCCTCGTATCCACGCGTCAACACTTTCCTTCCCTGTGACTCCCCAGGTCCGCTCGTCCTCGCCACCCCTTCCCAGCACCCATGTCCCTTAACTCTCTCCGGTATCGGCTCGACCCTACACCCTCTTCCCGCGTCTCCTGCGAAACCCCGGGGTCCACTCCATGTTTTAGTGTCCACGTCTCCGTCCCTATTCTCCCGCATTCCTCCTGACCTCCTTAACTCTCTACAAGCCACAGTATCTGTCCCCGTGGTCTTCAAGCATGTATCTCCACGCTCCGCAGAAAAGCACGCAGGGCCGGCGCTAAAAGCCATTCCTTTATTCTGCCCTAGGCAGGCTGCATTCACAGGCACACTGGAAACCCGCTGATGGCTTCGGTGCTCTGCAAGATCATGTCCGCCAGCAGAAAGCAGAAGCCTGGCAGGAGGAGAGTGCAGAGCCGGGGAAGGAAGGTGGGCGGCGGAGCGGATGACCTGGCCTGCCTAGGGACTAGGGTTTGGGGGTTCCAACGGTGTCTCCACCGGGTGTGATGGAGTCTGGAGTGCAAGGTGTTGGGGAGGGGGGAGGCGTCCCTGGAAGTCACGGTGGGCTTTCGTGACGGAACAGGTGACTGGGAAGTTTCTGGGGAGGGGAGTCCTCAGGAGGGGCAGTTTCCACCCTCTCCCCCTTGTGCTGGTTACCCGCAAGGAACGAGAAGGGTAAAGCCAGCCATCCGAAAAAGTAGGACCAGGAGAAGAAGACTTCCGGCTTCCAGGCATTCCTTGCAGTGTACCCGATCAACGCAATCAGCAGCAGCAGCCCTGGGCCACGCCCACCCGTCAGGTGACCAGGTAAGGGCCGCACCCACGCCTGCCTCCCAGAACCGCCCACGTCTCTGACTAACCAACGCACACCCAGCTACCCTTTGGCTCCCCTCTCGTGGACCCCCATTAAAAATAGATTCTTCCTTTATACAATATATCCCGACCACAGTTTCCTCTCCCTCCACTCCTTCCAGCTCCCTCCATCTCCATCCTCTCCCAGATCCACTCCTCCTCCGTTTCCTCTTCGGAAAAGACCAGGTATCCAAGAGACAATAGCCAAACAGGACAAGACAAGATCTAATAAGACAAGGCAAAAGCCGACATATTGAGGCTGGACAAGAGAACCCAGTAGGAGAATGAAAGTTCCAAGAGCAGGCAAAAGAGTCAGAGATAACACCAGCTCCCGCTGTTAGGATTCTGTTATCCCTGTATTGCCCTTCTCCACTTCATCCTTCCGTCTCATCCCCCACCCCTACCTCCCATTTCTAACTATGCTAATCAACCTCTCTCTGACCAACTCCTTCATCACCCTCTCGCCTCCCACCCACCCCCACCCCGGCTACATGGGAGTGACTGCCTTCTCACCGCTGAGAACAAGTAAGGCAATGACTTTCTGGCTGCGCAGTGACTGGCCCTCTTGGCACTGAATCCTTATCCCCATACCCAAAGATATGGTACTGAAGGTCGCTGCCAACACCATGCACGCCGCGGTCACTGCCAGGGTGTCTGGAGAGACAGGAGGGCATCAGCTGGGCACCCTGCCGCCATGAGAAAGCAGCCCTCAAGTCTTCTGGCCATCCTCACCTCACCACATACAGACCGTGCGAGTCTAGAGCTCGGCTGTCTCAGGACTGAGGGGGACTTGGTAGGGAGAGGGCAGCTCAGCTACAAAGATCTGGGGAGAACGGGCCTTGGTGGTGGAGGACAGCTGGATCTGAGGCTGGGCTGGAAAGCCCCGGTCGGAGCTGGGGGTCGGTGTGGTCTGACACGGGGACAGGTGAAGGTCTCACTCTGGCAGGGGATGTTGGTGCAGGAGCCGTGGGCACACTCCTGCCACAGGCCACTGTGCCCGCCCTGTTCTCGGCTCCAGTAGTTGGTGGCAGTGGACAGTATTGTGAGGACGCTGGTCAAGATATTAAGCAAATTGCCTCCAATCTGAAGGCTCCTCTTCACCCCCATGCCAAGGAGGCAGCTGCCAAGGACATCATAGGTAGGACTGGCTCACGCCGCTGATTGGGGGGGAAGCGCCTCCTCTTCAGAGGGCCTCCCTTCCCAAGTACTCCTGCCTGGCAACCTCAAAATCCCCAACAGCAGCCACTTGGTGCTTCAGGCCTCATAATCCTCGCCTCAAGGAGGCTCGGGCAAGACATCAGAAGTCCAAGGCCACGCCTGGGCTACAGAATGAGTTCTGACCGCAGTGTGAGACCCTATTTCCATTAAACCAAAACAAAAAACAAGAACGAAGCAGGAGGTAGGGCTGTAGCTCAGTGGTGAAGTGCTTGCCCCCACCACAAGGCCCTGTTTGGGTTCCACCAGCCAGAGTGGGGCACACCAGCACATCTGGCACGTGGGGGAAAGGGTCAGGAGGATTAGAAGTTTGAGGTCATTTTTCACAGCCAGCCTGGGATGTGTGAGACTCTCTCTCTCAAAAAAAAAAAAAAAAGATTTTCAATCTCCCATGACCCCCTTGCCTCTTCCTCAACCACCTTGCCTAAGAACTTATGACTCCTTCTAAGTAACTTAATTCTCTAAGTTCTCAGGCCTCACAGCTCAGTGACTAACTTCCAGGCATTTCCGTCCTCAGCTGAGGAAGGTAGCCCCATTGGCTCGGTGCTCTTCCCACCCCCACCCCTATACAAACACTTCCCAGAAAATGACTTACAGCCTGGTCCCCTGGAACAGACAGCCCACAGGATTGGGGGTGGGGAGGAGGATGGGTCTCTGTGAGGCAGCAGAGATTCCAGAATCCCTTCCCTTAGCCACCATTTAAAGGGGTACCCTCCTGCAGAAGCATATTTATTTTATATCCCTGGTCTAGAATTTTTCTGTTTGTTTCTGAGACAGGGTGACATGGTTTCCCTACAAGGCTCTGGCTGTCCTGGAGCTCACTATGTAGACCATCCTGTCCTCAAACTCACAAAGACCTGCCTGCCTCTGCCTCCCAAGTGCTGGGATCAAAGACAGGTGCCACTACACCCAGCGGGATTGTTGTTTTGAGATAGGGTCATTTAACTCTTGTAGCCCATGGCATGTTCAAAGCATCTGAGCAGCCCAGGTCTGACCTTGAACTTCTGATTCTTTGGTCCTGGGATTATAGGCCTGCACCACCGTTCCTATCTTTCGTTGTGTTCTATTCTGTCGTTTTTTGAGGCAGAGTTTCACTATGTAGTCCTTAGCTGGCCTAGAACTCACCACATAACCCAGGCTGACCTCAAACTTACAGCAACTCTCCAGCCCCAGTCTCCCAAGTTCAGGGAGTGCATCACCAAGCCAAGCTTCTCTTTTAAAATTTTGATTTACATTTAAAAAAATTTTAAAGTAATTTTAATTTCATTTTTAGAATTCATTTGTATTATTTTTAATTATGTATATGTGATTGGATATGTGTGTGTGAGTGCATGTGCCTAACTGAGGCCAGAGGCATTGGATCCCTTGAAACTGAAGCTCCTTTGGCTTTGAGCCACCCTGATATGGATGCTGGGAGCTGAACTCTTGCTTTCTGAGCCTAGCTCCAGAGGCTCTTTTAACAGGATGACGGCTCAGAAAGCGAGCCTGGGAACCAGGCTTGGCTGCTCCTGTCTGCAATCCTAGCATCTGGAAGGAGGAAGCAGGATAGCCTTCCGTTTTAAGGCTAGCTTTGATCTACATGTGAGCTTCAGGCCAGCTAAGCTCCTGTCTCAAAAAGAAAAAGAAGAGGGATAGAGGGAGGACAGCTGATGGAGGAAGGAAGAGAGGAGGCAAAGGAAGAAAGGGAGGGAGGGAGGAAGAAAGAAAGGAACAAGAGAAGGAAGGGGAGCTCCAAAGTTGCGGCTACTGCGTGGTTGACCAAGTTGTCCTAGAAGCTTAAGTATCGTGGTACCTCATGGGGCCTCCTGGTTCCCAGTTCTCTGTCTGTGCTTTCTGCTCCCTTGCAAGCAGGACTCAGTCCTCTACTCCCCAGGCAAATGCTGATCTCTTCTGGCCGCCATCACATGCCTCTCTTCAGGAGAGCACTCTCTCCTCAAGGATATCAACCCTGACATCTGAGAAAGCCACCAAAAGGCCACTTCTAGCCCCAGGCTCCTCATCTGATCCCTAGAGAGGAGCCCTCTCCTGCCCCTGGCTCTCCTCCATGGCCACTCAACCACATCACCACCAAGATCACTGGCTTCCATCAAACTTGTTAGAGCTCTGATGTGTCACTCACTTTGTCCAGCCAGAGCCTCAGGTGCTTTCCTTGCTTCCTTTGTGCCTCTGACCCCAGGGCCTGTGCCTTTCTACTGCTCTTCAACCTTCGGATCTCACCCGCAGGCCACTGGAGGGAGACCTCTCTCACATTTGGGAGAGTTTCTCCCCTCCTTACAGTTATTGCTCAATTTCCACCATCTCCGGGAGAAAGATAGTGTCAATAGAGGTCCTGGCTCCCATCTTCTTCCCACCACCCCACATTCTATATTCCGGGCACAAATGGCTACTTTCCATACCCTGTCCATGTCTCCATCTTCAGGCACCTCTTCCTGGATAGTATCATTCCTGTGCTAATGAATGTTTGTAATCCTAATACTTGAGAGGCTGAAGCAGGAGGATTGCTGAGAATTTCAAGGACTGTGTGGCACATTATGGACACCTTATGCAAAAAGTGTAGGAACACTGGGGATAAGGCTTGGTGGTTGAGGGCTTGCTTTAGCTGGCAGGAAGCTCTGTGTGCCATCCTCTATGTTAAACCAAAATAACAGTTGTTAAATGTCATCTCCAGTAAAGATGACATGACAGGCCTGGGCTTAGGTTTCCTCCCACATCCTCAGGCTGTGGCTGTCATCTCGCTGGTGTCATATGCTGGTGGTTAGGGCTTGGGTGTGATACATGTCAGTGGACCCAAAGTGGACCCACAGAAGGGTGGGGGAGAGCGGAATCGCTAGTAAGGGAGGGGCTGCTTGGGGAAGAAAAGAGAAAGATAGAAACCGAGAGAAAGAAAAGCACTATGGGGGGTCGAGAGAGACAGGTCAGAATATGCTGTAGGCGGGCAGGTGTGCATCTCTCTCACCCTCCCTGAGAGCTCCTGTGTCACCCACCACAAGGCTTATGTGTGGTTGGCTTAGGGACTGGGGTTGCAGCATGGACCTCATTCATGCTCATCAAGTCTCTGCAACCGAGCCACCACCCCAGCCCTCTGGTTGATGTTTGCCTTGAGGCAGGCTCTGACTTCGTTGCATAGGCTAGCCTTGAACTCACCGTGTAGCCCAGGCAGGCTTTGAACCTGGAAACTCCTTGCTCCAGCCTCCTGAGTAACTGCGATGATAGGCCTGGCCTGGCTTATGACTTGGCTGAACTGATAGATAAGAACAGTTAGATCTCAGCAGGTTTTTATTGAGCATATGAAGAAACCAATGAAGGGTAAGGCAAGGCTGGAGGGGTGGGGGTGTAGAGACACAATTCTGCATTTCTCTTGTGGCTCCTGAGAGGACAGGGCTCCAAACACCCTGCTGCCTCTGCTATCCTTGGCTCCCGTTCACAAGGTTTCATACTCAGCCCGACGGGTTCTACAGTGAGCACCCAGGCTTAGGCAACCTGGTGTGGAGACATAGGAGGAGAGGGGAGAATTAAGTACTTGGGCTCCCTGCCCTGCCCCACCCCAGTCCCCATCATGGTCTTCCACTGGGGAAGTGGGCTGAGTGGTTACCTGCACAGAGGAAGAAGATGGAGGAGGCCCAGCCGAGGTAAAAGGACCAGGAGAAGAATATCTGGACCTGCGGGGATGGTGTCTGGCTCCATCGCTTACTGGTGTACACCGCCGTGGCCACTATTATGAAGAGAGCTGAGGACAGGAACAAGAGAGAGTTGGCTTGTCCACTGCATGACTCACCAGCCCTGGTGTCCTGGTGCAGCCCAGAGCCCATTCATACCTGCAGTGAAAGCCATGACAGTTGAGACCAGAGGGCCACGGCCTGGGGTGGACAGAGCTGGGATGCAGGATAGAACCAGGAGGCCCACGGACACCAGGCCCCACAGGGCGGCCAGGATGTAGAGGCTCTGTGTCACGTGGATATAATCTAATGCGAGATGAGATTTCTGGGTGTCTGTTTCCCACTGGAAATCCCCACCACCAGACAGCCCGTTGCCCCTTTACCTGCTACTTGGATCCCTTGGCTCTTTGGCCAGAGGCCGGAGTGGGCAGAAAATTTGGAGTTTGTGGCCACTATCCAGTAGTCAGTGCTCAAAGCAATCAGAGAAGAAGTCAGGCCCAGGCAGCCAGCAAGCAGGGCCAGGGACCGGCAGGGCTCCATGAGCACAGCTCTGGGTTTTCACTTCTTAGAGGATAAAGACACAGAGGACCCAGACTGTTGGGCCTTAGAGAAAGGAAAGGACCATGCACCCAGACTCCCAGGTCCTATAAGCCGGAGAAGCAGCCAGCAAGCAGTCACTCTGGCTGGTAGTCCTCTGTAGCTTCAGGCCTGGCATCTGACTCTTCTGGCACCCTCCCTTCCGGAGTGGCTTCCCCTCCCCTCTCACATTGGCTCTCCTTCTGTGGGGTGGGGGAGGGTCCTGCTGATGTCATAACTTGCTGGCTGCTCTGGGGTGTCCACCCTCAGTGGTCTAGTTAGTGGTTTAGACTGTCCACAGGTTCTGCACCTCCACAGATGGAGACAGCACATTTCCTGGAAGGCCTTAGGGAGGAGTTTGGGGGTCTCAGAGGTAAGAGGTGGGCTAATCCTACGAGGGTGTGAGTTAACCGAAAGGGGCGACATGGCCGAGGAAACAGTTGTGTCACACTTTCCTGTGGTTTTTACGCTTAGCTCCTAGACTCTAGCACTAGAGTTCCCAGCAGCAAAGGGGCAGTGGGGTCAAAACACAAGTTCCAGGGGAGGAAGGACTTGACTAGGTGGGAAGAGAGACTCGGAGTTCCCAGTCAAGGCTTCTGTCCACGACAGACAGGATTCCAGAAAGCTTGAGGAGGGGAAGACCCTCCCATAGCCTAATCTTGCAGAGATAGTGAGAAGTCACCCCACTACGTTGGACCGTCCAGCATGGGTGTCCTTATCGCCAAGATGAGGGTGTCTGGGTGACAATTCAGGGTCCTTTGTCTCGTGTCGTCCAGTAGTGGTCAACACCTTCTGTACGGGGAAGCACAGATGTATGTGCCATCTCTTCACGTGCTCACACGGGCCTGTCCTCCCAACACCCAAGGGGTCTGAGAAGGGAGCATTGTGAGTTTAAGGCTAGCCTGGGCTACCTGAGATCCTGTCCTTCCAAAACAGTAAAATAAAATAGAGAGGGGGCCAGAGGTACGCTTTCTGTAGTGAAGGGGCCTGTCCAGGGAGGGGAGGGGAGACGAGGAGTTGCCTGGAGCTTGGGTGGGTGGGAAACAGGTAGGCTATGTTCTCAGAGATCAATTCGCCCACCCTGTTATACCACACAACCATTTCTAGACATTGCACCATGGCTGTCTTCTAGGTAGGGACCCATTTACCTTCCCCTCCCTGAAGGACTGAGGCAGTGAGGCCACCACATCAGAACACCCCCGCCACACCGGCCCGTTTCTCTCCAAACCAGCCCCTCGAGGACTCACACTTCGATAGTTTCACATCAGTTTTATTAGATCCCAAAATGGCCCTCTAAAGGAGTTTCCATTTTTCTACCACCCCTCGGGGCAGGTGGGGGCTCGTGTCTTCTCAGTTTCCTCCCATCTGACCCGACTTTTCTTCCCCACACAGGACAGAGGGATCCGGGGCTTTCCTGTCTAGAATCGAGGACTGAGCCCATCATTCCCTCAGGAGTCAGGACTTCCAGCCTCTGGGTTCTCCCCCTTCTCTCCGGTGCCCTCCTTGTAACTTCCAGCTGTGAAGTTTACCCCAGGGCTCAGCGCGGGGTGGATAGGCGCCTGCACTCCTGCATCCGGTAGGCGCACATGTAGAAAATTCCTGTGTGGACGGAAATCCCCATTGATATCCAAAACCCTCCTGAGCTTACCTTTTCACCCCAAGAGACTCCCTACTAACTCCCTCCCTTAGGATCACCAGTCCCCAGACCCTTTAGGCCTATAGTCTGCCTTCAGAATACCTTGTCAACTCACCCTCTGAAGTTTCCTGCCTTGCCCCACGTTTTCAGCCTTCCCACCCCTCTGCCTCAGTACCTGCAAAGAAGGTCATGAGCAGGGCCACCCAGCCCAGGATGTAAGACCATGAAAAGCGCCAGTCCCCAAAGCGGCGGCCGAGAAAACTGACGGTGACTCCGGTGTAAATGGCCAAGGCCAACAGGACAAATAGGGCTGGGGAGAGATCATGACATGGGGTATAGTTGGGCAAAAGAATTAGAGATAGGGAAGAGGGGAGATTGACGGGTGTGGGGACAGTGGTGAGAATAAGGGTGATACAGGATTCAGTGGAGATGGGATTGGGTGAGGACAAGGCTGGGAAGCACAATAAAGCATTTAACAGGTCCTTGTTTCTGGATCCTGGGAGAGAACTGAATCCTTGCAGTGTTCTGAGTGCCTCATTACTCTAAAGAGCTCCTTGGATCACACCAGAGTTTGTATGAACTAATAGGTGACTCAGGGTACCCATCAGAAACACCTATCAGGGGATGGGAGGGTATAAGGATTTGAATAAAAATGGCCTCCATAGGCGCACATTTTTGAATACTTAGTCATCAGGAAGCATCTCTCTCTTGGCCAATGGATCAGAATGTAGCTCTCAGCTACTTCTGCCATGCTGTGAATGCCATCATTCTCCACATCATGAAACAAATGGACTACATCTCTGAAACTGTAAGCCAGCCTCAATTAAATGCTTTCCTTTAGAAGAGTTGCTGTGGTCACGGTGTCTCTTCACAGCAATGACTAAGACAGAAGGCTATTGAGATCTTGAGCCTGAGATATCAGCACTGTCTCTGTGGCAGAAGAAGCTGGGGGTAGACCCAGTCCACTGCAGTGAGTCCATCTGTGATGGCTGGTCTCTGTCGTTTCTACTGGATTTAGAATCAGCTGAGAGACCTCTCTCTGTCTGTCTGTCTCTCTCTGTGTTTGTGTGTGTGTGAATGCATTTCTAGAGAAACACTTTATTATTCATGTCTGTGTGCCACAGTACTTGTGAGGTCACAGAATGATCTGTAGGAGTTTATTCTCTCTTTCCGGTATGTGGTTTCTGGGGACGTAAACTCAGTTTGACAGGGGTGACAGAAAAGTGTCTTTAGCCAGTGAGCCATCTCAGCAGCCCTCCAGAGCATTTGAACTAAGGCAGAATGTCCACAATGAATGTGGACAACGGTCTCTCAGGGGCCGGAGTCCCGGACAGAATAAAAACATAAGAAAGTGAGTTGAATACCAGCCGTCTTCTCCGCTTCCTGACTGCGATGTGGCTTCCGGTTGCAACGTGACCGGCTGCCTCACGCCTCTGCACCGTGACTTCTCTGCCATGATGGTCTGTGCCCTCAGACTGTGAACCAAGTGTACCCTACCTCCCTTAGGTTGTTTCTTGTTAAATACTTGGTCACAGAAATGAGAGCTGTCACTAATGTTCTGCTCATCACCTGTGCAATGAAATTCCGACAGGCCTCACCTTCTCTATCTCTTCATTTGTTGGCCCCGAGCCGAACACCTATAAGGAGACTGTGACTGTGTCGGAAGCCCTGCCTAGAATCCCTCAGGGAGAGGCTGCCTGTGATTCCTCGGTAGAGCGTCTTTCTAGTGTATGCATGTTCCTGGTGTATGTACCTTCCTCAACACCAGGACAGACAGAGAAAGGAAAGAAGGGAGGGAGTGATTGCCTCTAATTAAAAATAAAGGTTAAAAGCAAAGAAGGAAGTCAGTAGATCTGGACGTAGGGATGAGGGAGGGAACGGAGTGGAGAGTGACAAGAAGAGGGTGTTGGGCGGAATGGGGATGAGGAGTTAGAAAGTTTGGGTGGGGAAGGAAGGGCGTGCCCACTCACTGGAGGCAAAAAACATGATGCCGGCAGAGAAGGGTCTGGAGAGGCGGGTGAAGGTGGACTGCTGCGCAAAGGCGAGGACCCCCATGACGATGCCCGAGGTGGCGCACAGGGCAGACAGGATCATGAAAGCCCGGGTGGCATTCCAGTATGCTGTGGGGACACATTACAGTCATTCCTGAGCAGCTGCCTCTGGGATCACCGTGCCTTCTTTTCCTCCACGTATCTAATTCAGCTCTTCCGTCTTTGCACCTGGTGCACTCATACTCATCCCTCAAAACCCAAGCTCTCAAGACCTGCTTCTTGGGAAGCATTGTTCTGACTGTGGCCCTCTGCTCTGGGTTCTAACGGTCTCTTCTATGTCACCCACCTCAGCTTGACTTCTCCTTGAGGACAAGGGCTGGCTGGGCTCTTGCCGTGCATACCCCCAGCAGAGGCTGGCTTACACAAAGGCCTTGTGAAGTGTTTACCGAGTGACTGTTCCCCATAAGCTCTTGACAATAAACTCTCTTACTGATGCTCATCCATCTTACTTTCCTGCATCTCCAAAGTTCTGTTCTTTTGTTTTAACTGTATTTATGTGTCTGGAAAGACCAGGGCTGACTCCCTCACTCTCTGTTGCATCCCTGGCCCCTGACCCTTGTCTGGCACATGATAGATGTTAAGTAATAATTTTTGAGACTGGGCCTCTTGTAGCCCAGGTTGTCTTTGAACCGATGACATAGCTAAGACTGACAGGCCTCACCTTATATATCTCTTCATTTGTTGGCCCCGAGCTGAACACGTATGAGACTGTGACTGTGTCGGAAGCCCTGCCTAGAATCCCTCAGGGAGAGGCTGCCTGTGATTCCTCGGTAGAGCGTCTTTCTAGTGTATGCACGTTCCTGGTGTATGTACCATGTATCTATCTTCCTGACTCTCCTGCCTCCACCTTCCACGTGCTGGAATTACAGGCTTGGGATACCTTGCTTTCCTCTTTTTTAAGACAGGCTCTGGCTACGTAGGCCAGGTTTTCCTGAACGTCTTAAGGCCCTCGCTTCTCCCAAGTGCTGGAACTGTAGGTGTGCACCGTCACGTCTGTGTCTGCCCAATCCTTACACGCAACTGGATTGTCTGCCATCATTCCTGGGAGATGGAAGGGGGTGACCCGTGGAAAGCCCTTGAGCTAGGTAAGCACCCAGTAGGGTCAGCCTATTACTGTTGTTTTCAGGAATAAGACCCAATAATTTTTAATTAATATCCTGTCGAAGATCTTGTACAGTGCAACACTCAGTATCCTGATGTGTTAGCTTATCATATGCTATATTGTATGATACCTTAAACAAAATATATCAGGTGTTACCAATTTCCCATGCTTTCGAGAGTATGTTATGTACAGTATTATTCGTTAATATTCTACATTCACACCTAATATATACTATGTAATGTATTTCTCCACATCACCCTTCTTGCTCGCATGCCTGCGCTGTTTATGTGGGCACGTGTGTGCATATGCGTGTTGAGGCCCAAGGTCGACCTTAGGTGTCGTGCCTCAGGAGCGCTCCACCTTGTTTCTTGAAATACAGTCTCTCACTGGCCTGGTTCACCAAGTAGACTAAGCTGGTTGGCCAGTGAACCGCAGGCACCTGCCTCTCTCTCTGCTGCTTCCAGGTTAGAACTTAAGTACCTTTTATTTGTTTGTTTGTTTGGGTGACAGGCAATCCTGGTTCTGGGATTACAGGAGTAGGCCATTTTACCTGGCCAGCTGGCTAGCCTGCCTACCTGTCTACCTACCTACCTCTGATGGTTTGAATGAGAATAGACCCCGTAGGCTACTCTGTTCGAATGCTTGTTCCCCAGTTGGTGGAACTTTTTGAGAAGGATTAGGAAGTGTGGCCTTCTTGTGAGGAAGTGTGTCACTCAGGGTAGACTTTGAGGTTTCTAAAGACCATGCCAGGCCCAGTGTATGTCTCTCTTTCCGCCTCTACTTGTGGACTGAGATGTGATTGCCAGATACTGCTGCAGCACCATGCCCACCTGCCTGATATCATGCTCTCCATCATGACGGTCATGGGCTCTTTGAAACTGAAAGCACCAAATAAACTCTCTCTTCATAAGTTGCCTTGGTCATGGTGTTTTGTCATGGCAGTAGAAGAGTAACTAAGATGCTTTCTACCTATTGATGCATCCACCCATCTGTCTATCCTTCCTGTCTATCATCTAGTTTGTCCTATCCTTCTGTCTATCTATCTATATCTATCTATCAGCTATCCATTTATCTATGTATTCTACCCATCATCTTTTTATATTTTTATATTTCTACATCTCCATCCAGCCCAACATACAGCTATCCTATCCTAACCATCCACCCATTCTATGCATATTTCTCCTATTTAACTACAAATCCATCTACTCTATTATCCTATCTATCTATCTATCTATCTATCTATCTATCTATCTATCTATCTATCTCTCCATCCATCCATCCATCCATTCACTCACCCATCTATTCATCATCTTTCTATCCTATCTGTATCAGTCAATCACCAATCAATCATTCAATCACCTACTCATCCATCCATGGATCCATCCATCTATAACATGGCCTGGTACACAGCAGGTAGCAAAAAGCCTTTTATCTGGCATGCAGCCTATTAACAGCCTCTGTGATCCCTGTCCCTAACACTGTTTGTTGGCTCATAGCATTTACTTATTTAATTTTTATTTTGAGACAGGGTCTCAATATGGAGCCCCAAACTCACAATCCTCCTGTCTCCACATCCCAAGTGCTGAGATTATAGGCATACACTACCATACTCAGCTCATAGCAGATGTTTATAAAATGCTTTTCATAAAAAAAGTGAGCTAACTCCATCCTCACTGCTGCATCTGACGCCTTTTCATGTGGGAAAATGCCACCCCATTAACCCAACCACAAAACCTTACACCCTGTTCCTGCAACTAGAAAACAATCCAGAGATGCCAAGACTGTTCCACTCCCTGCTGAGTATCCCCGTGGCAGTGCCTCTGCCTCTCTGAGCCACTGTGCTTTCCCTCAGAATACGAGGGATGATGGCTCTGAGCTGTGTTCTGGGGGAGGGTTAGACCCTAGCACCACTCAGACCCTGGCCTCAAGCTCACCGATGCTCTCCGTCTGCAGGAAGCACTTGCTGCCCAGGCAGTAACGCCACAGGCCCTGGTGTGCGAAGGACCCCGACAGCCGGTACTGCATCCAGTGGTCCGTCGCTGTGGCTACCACCAACAGGATGGTCCCTACCCAGGCGCAGAAGAGGCCACCACCCATGAAGCTGTACATGGTGATCTGTGGAGAGGGGAGAGCTGAGGTTGAGTGGCTACCCTGGGACTGAGAGAGGAGAGTTGGGGTCTGGACCCCCAGGTTTGAGAGGAAGGCTGGGGAATGGATTTATGGGCCTAAAGGAGGAGGGTACAGCAGATTGGATGCTTGGGTCTGAGGGTGGAGGGCAGGTGCCTGGATTCTTCATTCCTGACGAGCCTCTGTTCTTGGCTTCTGGAGAGGAAGGACTGGCCCTGGGGTTCAAGTTCCCAGAAGAGTAGGGCCTGGGAGCCTAACTTCTCAGGGTGGGGCTGAAGGTCTCATTCCGGTGCCTACCTGAGTGGTAGAGTCTGTCCTGAGCCCTCCTTCTGCCACAGCCCCTCTGTGGAAACTGAGCCGAGCCAGGTTGCTGCCGTCTCTGCCTCGTGGTTCCCCCAAATCCCTTAAGCCTCCCCACACAATGGCTGCATGGCCCAGCAGCTTCCAGTAGGCAGAAACACAGTGGCAGCAGAGGCCCCAATGGAATTTGCTGAAGCAGGGGACAAAGGGGCCCCACCAAGCTCTGTCTGTGAACCCCTCCACCTCCCAGGCTTCTACCCGGTCCTCACTCTGGGTAGCCTGTGCCTCACAGAAATCACAGTCCAGAAAAGGAGATCAAGCAGACATCCTTTTATTGTTCAACCAGAGCTTCCCAGCCTGAGGGACAGAAAACAGCAGTGGCTGATGTGCTACAGCTGTCATGCCAAGGGGTTCCTTGTAGGGTAGGATAAAGAGCTCGTCAGAGCTGGACTGGGCCATGGCAGATGCTGGGTGTGGGGCCGGAGTTGAGCAGGGTGCTGTTGTAACATGAAGATGAATAGGGAGGTGGCGTGAGATGAGGTGAATAGGGAATGAGGATGAAGAAATGGGGAGTGAGCCCAGTCCCCTCTAGTGTTCCGTACAATCTTAGCACCCAGCCAACTGAGAGAGGAGAATTGGTGAGACTGGTTTTGAAACAAAGCAAAACAGATTGGGAATAATGGGAGACTGTGTGGCCCAGACCTTTAGTTGCAGATGCTTGGAAAACTGAGGCAGGAGGGTCGCAAGTTCAAGGCCAGCTTGGACATTTGGCAAGACCCTTTCTCAGTATAAAAATAAAAGAGGACTGCCGTTTACTTCAGAGTTTGACTAGCATTCCGGAGGCTAGTATGGAAAATAAAACCAGCAAATAAACAAATTAGGAATGAACATGGGTTTGGGTTGAAGGCCAAGAACAGAGTAGGGGGAGGTTGGTGAAGATGGGTTGATTGTGCAATGGAGAGAGGAAATGAGGAAATGCTTTTGGGTCTGGAAACGGGATTGGGGCGGCTGTGAGAACACTGAGAAAAAGCTCGGATAGGAGCAGGCGCTGGGATGCTGTGAGTTTGGGTGCGGGAGTTTTCTTATTCGGGATGTTAAGTCATTAAGTCAGGTTCAGGCTTTACCAGATGATCTTCAGGAGGCTGTTAGAGGTTGTGGTTTGGGGGCTGGGGAGAAGGTAGAGATGGTATTTCTTGGGGTACATCTGAAGGATTAAGAACACGGGGCTCTGGGAATACCCCGAGGTGACTGGGTGCTCTTCAGGGTCCTTAGTAGTCTGTCTCCCAGTCTTCAGAAACAGGCGCTGGGGGCAAGAGTGGCTCCAGTCCTCCAGCTTCCTTCTGCCCATCCTGGGATGGTGGTGTCACTGGCAGGGTCGTGGGGCCAGCCCCAGGGGGCCCTGCCATGCTCTTCTCCGGCTCTTCAGCTCTCCCGGGCCCCCATCGTGGCTGCCCTTGGGCCCTGCCCCGGCCCCGGGAAGGCCTGTGCCGAACCTCCCAGCCCCCGCGGGCCTGGCCTGATCTCCGGGGTGGCCTCCTGACTGTGTCTGGCCCGACGTGGCATGGCTGGGCGGAGCAAGAGCAAGGGGGTAAGGACTGCTGGAGGTTGTAGGTCCCCAGCAGGGCACTGTGTAGGAGGTAGGACAGAGTGTCCAGGCGGATGGGGACAGTGACAGAGGCCAGTTGCTCTGGGAGCCCTAGGTGGGCTGGGTCTAGGGTGCTCAGGAGCGAGGGTGGTAGGGCTGGGGCGGCTGAAGCAGGCCATGCCTCAGTCCCAGCTAACGGCAGAGAAGAGCTGTCCCTAGGAAGATAATAAGGCCGGTCAGTACATCACCAACTGCACCGCCTCCACGGGACACAGCCCCTGGGACTCCCTCCACCCACTGTCTCATTTCTCATTAGTTCCAGGACCCAACACGTCAGTTCCAATTCCCAGCTGCTCTGTCTAAGGCCTAACTGTGTAATTAATTATTTTACTTATTTGAGACAAGGTCTCAAGGAGCCAGGCTAGTCTCATACACTGCTCTGTAGCTGAGGGTGACCTTGAACTTCTGTTCCCTTTGCCCGCATATCCAGAAGTATCTTGCTCAACAGTTGGCCACCAGAGTCCTGGAGAGTTCCTAGGTCTTAATACCTGAGTCTGTTTGGTTTTTAAACAGTATGCTCAGGTCAAGACACTCCTTGCGCTAAAGTTGTCTGTCCCCTCTTCTTTGCAAGGCTCTTTCCTAGAAGGTTTTTTTTTTTTTTTTATCTCACTCACCCATTACACAAAGCCTCATCTTTTGGCTTGTCCATCTTCTCAGCCGTGTCTGAAGTCTTTTCTAGATCCTTCCGGAGCTTTAACAGAAAAGGGAGGGGCAAAAGAAACAGGGCAGGGCCTATAGGTAAAAAGCATGTAGCTCTGGGCGTGGCTACCGGAATGCAAGGAGCTGCCATTGGGCAGCCCGGAGTAGCCGCCCACCTAGACAGAAGCCAGCGGCAATTCAGATCCAGGGAGCACGCGAGGACCTAAGGGCTCTGTAATCCCAACTCGGAGCTTGGACCTATGGTTCTAGACCACAGGCCACCTCCCTCAGACTCAGAGGTCCAGCCGCAGCCTTCTTTCTTCAGACCCAGCGGCCCAGGATCTAGCCCCCTCCTTCAGATCCTCATCCTTCTCACTTAGACCCAGAGGTTCAGACACAGCCTCCTCCCCAAGGCCAAGGAGTGCAGACCCCAGCCTCTTCCTCAGACCCAGAGATGTAGGCCTAGATGCTTGTGGCTCTCTCTGTAGTTCTGCCGTTTCCTCAGGATGTTCTTAGGAATTGCTCTGAGTTTTAGACTGGGGACCCTCAGTCATGATAAACTTAGGCTTCCTAGGGGTGGATTCTGTTACCTTTGATCTCTGACTTGCTTTGTGACCTTCAGTCTACCTAGTAGATGAAGGCCGTACCTCCTTGTACCTAGGAAGTGTGTTGCACCCAGTCCCTAATCTGGGTAAGTAAGCCAGTAAGAAAGCTCTGGAGTCTGCTGCAAACTCCAATTTCTCTTTTGTTCTGTCCCTGTAAGAGGAGGCAGTGCAATTAGCTCTAAGTCACTGTGAAGGTCACAGTGGTTTAGAAATCAGCAGAGAGGAAGGCCCTGGGGAGGACGTGCTGATCGTGGGGTGACCTCCAACCTGCTAAAGTGAGGTCTCTCCTTTCATTGCTCTGCAGGGCTGCGGCCCCTCAGCCAAATTACTTCCCTTCTAGCTTTTAAGGCCTCACACTGTTGGGAAGCAGTAGTGTAGAGAGGCCTCAGTAAGCTGCTTGCGGTGTGTTCTGGGCATGGGCATCTATATTTGTCTCTGTGCATGTATGTGTACGCACATACGTGTGGGGGTTAAAGGATATCATTCTTCAAACCCCATACACCTGTTTTGAGACAGGTTCCTCACTAGTCAAGTGGGCAGGCTGCCATCACCCCCTAGGAACCCACCTGTCAGAGACCAACTGTGGTCACTGGTGCTCTCCTTCCACCGTGGTGGGTCCTGGGGACTCAAGTCACCAGGCTCGGCAGGATGTGCTCTTACCCACTAACCATCTTGAAGGCCTTTATTGTTTGTCTTTCAACCTGGAGATCAAACACACGCACACACACACTCACTCAGAGACAGACACACAGATACACCCCTCCCCAAACACTCACGGATGCACAGACAAACACACGGGCAGCTCAGATGACAGGTCAGATCGGCAGTATCTGGGATAGTAGAGGAAGCGGCACCCTTTGACATTCAGGATGGAGAATGCTCGGCAACTCTAGATTTTGTGTCAGGGCATCGGGGGAGGTAGGGGGATGATAAGGTGGGTGCCGGTGGGTACTGGCCCCAGGAAGTACCTTCTCTGGGGTGGGAGGCTGTTGCTGCACAGCTACGTATGCTGTGCTGCCCTCTAGAGGCTGAAGCCATCGGTGCAGGTGTGGGAGCCTTGCCGGTTCACCTGGGTTCCCAAGTCCTCATTTTTCTCTTCATTTCTTTTCAGAGTGGGATGGGAATGCGACCACTGTCGCATTCTCCTGCTTCAGAAGCTGTTCTTACAGCCATAAGAGAGTGCCACAAGCTGTGTGACTTATAAAAGGCAGAAAGTTACCCCTCACTGTTCTGCCAGCGGCCAAAAGGCTCAACATCTGGCAAGGTACCAGTGTGGACCCGTGTTAGGTAGAAAAGGCGGGTAAAGGGTTTGGGCTGAGTGTGAAGGCAAGACTAGGCTTGGGTGTGTTTATTCGCTTACTTACTTTGTGGATTGAAATTTTTTGGGTTGTTTTGTTTTGAGACAGAGTCTCACCATGGTAACCCCCGATGGGCCTGGGACTCGCTACGTAAAACAGTCTGGGCTCAAGTTCACAGAGACATGGCTCTCAAGTGCTCAGATTAAAGGGACTAAAAGCTGTGCTACCTGTAACAGAGCCTCATGTAGCTCAGGCTGGCCTCAAATTTGCTATGTAGCAGAGGATGACCTTATCCTCCCCATCCTCCTTACAAGAGTGAGCCGCCATGGCCTCTTTCTGCGATGCTGGTGGCTTCCTGCATGCTAGGCAAGCGCTCCCCTCTAACTAAGCTGAGTTCCACACACACACCGAGGAGCTATGTGTTATCATACAGTGGTGGGACTGGACAAGTTCTACTCCTTTGTTGTAGGGTCCCTCAAACTCACTATGTAGATCAGGCTGGCCTCACACTCAAAGAAATCCACCTGCCTCTGCCTCTCAAGTGCTGCTTTAAAGACGAGCACCATCATGCCTATCAAGAGGCCCTTGTTCTCTTGTCAAGAGACAAAAGAATTGGTGACTACCTCTTGGAGACTACCCGTGCCCTCAGGTAGTTCATCTTTCCGTTTGGGTCTTTTAACTTTAGTGCCCACGCCCCTCTATTGAGGGGCTGAAGAGATGGCTCAGTGCTTAAGAGCACTGGCTGCTCTTCCAAAGAGCCTGGGTTCAGTTCCCCGCACCCACCTGACAGCTCACAACCACCTGTAACTCCAGGTTTGGGGATCTGGTGGTCTCTTCTGAGCACCCCATGCAGCAGGCCTGTACATAGTACACTTACAGATATGTAGGCAAAACACTCCTAGCCATAAAGTCAGTGAATAAATCCTTATCTATACCCCCCAAGACAAAAAATTGAGAAAATTTCTTTGTGGCCAACCATGTCTGTAATGGAAGTTTTGGTTTCTTTGTAAACTCAGTTATGTTATGTAAATATGCTTTTGTTTTAATCCCAAGTGTGGGATTTTAGTTGGGCTATAGTTTGGCCACAGCTGGTAATTGTCACGTGCTGGGCATCACCTTTGGCAGCTGGCAACTGCCTTCCTCGAGCAGCACAGAGAGGGGCCTGGTCTAGGACCCTGAGAGTGTAAATATGCAGTCAAGAAAGAAACCATGTGGTGGCATTCAGTGTGGCATTCAGTGTTGGCGTGTGGCATGGAAAAGTTTGGAGAGACCAGAGACCAGAGACCCAGAGACAGTGTAGCGGTTTGGAGCAGACACACGGAGAGAAATGCTTCAGGGTGTAGCAGTGTGGAGGAGACTTCTGGCTGTGTCTGGGTTGAGGGAGATTGGTATAAAGACCTAAAAGAACCCCTTGACCCTCAACAGCCAGAGGAAGTAAAGGAGTTGGGGTCTCTCTACCCACTAACCTTTTCTCTCTCCTACTTAAGGTTTGGGTGTTGGTGGAAGGGAGGTAGAGGCCTAAACACCCCAAATAAAGTAGAGTTAAGAAAAAGACCGCTACAGGTGGCATTCTGCTGCACCCGCCCTCCTGCTTTTGCCCCAAGGAAAGCCCATTTTTGGATACTCACCATGCAGCTTGAGCCAAGAAAGGCCACAGTTATGGCCATTTAGGTCAAGAATCACTTGTCCCATTAGCAGTCATTGTATCCCCAAGACTTTTCAGACAAGGCTCAAAAGCGGGGATGAGATAAATAAAAAGTTCTCTCAAGTCAACTGATCTACCACTTCTAGGTCAGGTACCAGGGTGAACCAGAGTTGGCTGTGGGAGAGAAACTGGAATTTGAGTTGGGTTTAAGCTTTTAATTTAGGGTTGGGTTAAGCTTTATTGTTTATTCTATTCACTGCATTTCAATTAATTCTTTCCTCTCATCTTTTGGACCCCAGGGATAGAACCCAGGTCATCAGCTTGGCAGCAGGTACCTTTTACCTGCTAAACTGTCACCAGCCCAGGCAGAGTGTTAAAAAAAATTAGAACTGCGTACACATACACACACACACACACACACACACACACACACGCTTGCGCACATTAACACATATACAAATATACACATAAACATGGGTGGTGGGAGAGGCTCAAGTAGACCCTGGAGTGGGTGAACACTGCCGTTTTCAGGCTGGACACCGGAAAGCAGGGAAAGCAGGGAAAGCAGGCTGGGTGTCCGTGAGCAGCATAAGGGATGGCAGATGTTATTATAGTCTGCGTCAACTCTGAAGCCACACTTGAAGGTTTCTTTATCCTTGGAAAAAAAGTGAGTAACAGACTTGGGCAGAAGTCAGTTATTTCAAAATACGTGTGTTAAGGCCATGACTTCTGCAATAACGGCTTAGGACTTGAGGGAGAGCTGTTAGCACCCAGAACTCCCGGAAGTGTTGTGTTAATGGGTCAGGGTGGGAAAGAACACCAGGCTGGGAGTCAGGAGAGCCAGCTTGAACTTGAGGAATGGCCAGGACCCCTCCTCAACCCCTCCTCAACCCCTCCTCAACCCCTCCTCATCAGGGATCATTACCTTCAAGATGTGTAAGCACAAGAAAGCTTCATTTTGCTAATGGCAGATCCAGGCCTGTTTCTGTTAAAACCCTTTCCTGGGCCAGTATAATGGCTTATCAGGTTAGGATACTTGCAACCAAGTTGGAGGCCTGAGTTCAAGCCTCAGGTCCCACCTGATGGAAGGACAGAGCTGACTTCCCTAAGTTGTTCTCTGACCTTCAGATACAAAATGTATTTTTTTTGCTTTTTTTATTTTAAATTTTTTTATTAATTACACTTTATTTACTTTGTATCCTCCCTATAGTTCCCTCCCTCCTCCCTCCCCATCCCTCCCTTCTTCCTTCTTCTCCACGCATGCCCCTCCCCAAGTCCACTGGTAGGGGAGGTCTTCTTTTCCTTCCTTCTGATCCTAGTCTGTTAGGTCTCATCAGGAGTGGCTGCATTGTCTTCCTCTGTGGCCTGGTAAGGCTGCTTCCCCCTCAGGGGGAGGTGATCAAAGAGCAGGCCAATCAGTTCATGTCAGAGGCAGTCCCTCTTCCCATTACTATGGAGGCCACTTGGACACTGAACTGCCATGGGCTACATCTGTGCAGGGGTTCTGGGTTATCTCCATGCATGCTACTTGGTTGGACTATCAGTCTCAGGGAAGACTCATGTGCCCTGATTTTTTGGATCTTTTGCTCTCCTTGTGGAGCTCCTGCCCCCTCCAGGTCTTACTAACTCCCACTTCTTTCATAAGATTCCCTGCAATCTCCTCAAAGGTTGGCCATAAGTATCAGCATCTGCTTTGATAGTCTGCAGGGCAGAGTCTTTCAGAGGCCCTCTGTGTCAGGCTTCTAACTTGTTCCCTCTTTTCTCCTTTTTCTGATGTCCATCCTCTTTGCCTTTCTGGATGGAAATTCAGCATTTTAGCCAGAGTTCTCCCTCTTGATTAGTTTCTTTAGGTGTACAGATTTTAGTAGGTTTATCCTATATTATATGTCTATATGAGTGAGTATATACCGTGTGTGTCTTTCTGCTTCTGGGACAGCTCACTTAGGATGATCTTTTCCAGTTCCCACCATTTACCTGCAAATTTCATGAATTCATTGTTTTTTATTGCTGAGTAGTATTCCATTGTGTAGATGTACCATACTTTCTGTATCCTCAGTTGAGGGGCATCTTGGTTGTTTCCAGCTTCTGGCTGTTACAAATAAAGCTGCTACAAACATGGCTGAGCAAATATCCTTATTGTGTACTTGAGCTGCTTTTGGATATATGCCTAGGAGTGGTATGGTTGGATCTTGAGGAAGAGCTATTCCTAATTGTCTGAGAAAGACCAGATTGATTTCCAGAGTGGTTGTACAAGTTTACATTCCCACCAGCAGTGGAGGAGGGTTCCCCTTTCTCCACAACCTCTCCAGCATGCGCTGTCACTTGAGGTTTTGATCTTAGCCATTCTGATGGGTGTAAGGTGAAATCTCAGGGTCATTTTGATTTGCATTTCCCTGATGACTAATGACGTTGAGCATTTCTTTAAGTGTTTCTCTGCCATTTGATATTCCTCTATCGAGAATTCTCTGTTTAGTTCTGCATGGTACTGGCATAGAAACAGAATGGTGGATCAATGGAACTGAATAGTAGACCCAGAAATAAACCCACACATATATGGACACCTGATTTTTGACAAAGATGCCAAAACCATTCAATGGAAAAAAGATAGCATCTTTAACAAATGGTGCTGGTCTAACTGGGTGGCTACATGTAGAAAAATGCAAATAGATCCATACTTATCATCCTGCACAAAACTAAAGCCCCAAGTGGATCAAAGACCTCAATATAAAACCAGACACACTAAACCTGTTAGAAGAAAAAGTGGGGAAGAGCCTGGAACTCATTGACACAGGAGACAACCTACTGAGCAGAACACCAACAGCACAGGCTCTAAGAGCAACAATCAATAAATGGGACCTTATGAAACTGAAAAGCTTCTGTAAGGCAAAGACATTGTCATCAGAAGAAATTGGCTACCTACAGATTGGGAAAGAATCTTCACCAACCCTACCAAACTTGTAACTTCTCTTGAGAACTGGTACACAGAAGTGGAAATTTCTGATTTCCTTGAAGGCTGAGTTTTGTCATGTGATGGTATCATGATGACTGAGTCCGGTAATCCCCTAATGACCCACTAACCCTAATCATCAGGATGTAGATAAAAGAGGACTACAACCCTTTACAATCCCTACTAATCTCCTACCTAAGGTTACCGGTGGAGGAGAGTTGGAAGGGAGGAAAAGTTGCTTAAGAACCTTAAAGTAGGTTTGGTGAAAAATCTAAGCCCACAGTCCACTCTGAAACTAGCTTTGACACCTTCCAAGGGTTGTGCAATGCCTCTGACCTAACACCTTCTACCACGTCCCATCCCTGAAAGAGCACATCACTCCTCCACCTGCCAAAAAGTGGGCTACACATCTAGCACATGAGCCTTTGAGAGACACACTTAGAGCATACCCAAACAAAAGCTGTCATCTTTAAAGTAAATTGTTCTGCGCATTTGTCTATGTCACTTCCATGTGCGTGCATGTGTGTGAGCCGTGATGCAGATGAGGGGCGGGGGACTCAGAGAGCAGCTTGTGGGAGGGTCCTTCCACCGTGCGGATCCTGTAGATCAGTCTCAGAGTTCATCGGTCTTGGTGACAAGCACATCTACCCACCTGCTCCCTGCTCCTGCTCAGGATTATTTTTAAGGAGAGAATCTATATTTATTTATTTATTTGTTTGTTTGTTTGTTTGTTTATTGATTTATTTTTGAGACAAGGTTTCTCTGTGTAACATCCCTGGCTGTCCTGGACTCGCTTTGTAGACCAGGCTGGCCTAGAACTTACAGAGATTTGCCTGCCTCTGCCTCCCAAGTGCTAGAATCAAAGGCTTGTGCTATCATGTCCAACTAAAAAGCTGTGCTCTTTGGAGGCCTTCTTCACTGACGTACCGTTTTCCCTGTGGGTGGTCTCAGTCCTAAAGTCCAGGGTGCCCTCAGTGGAATCTGACTTCTGCATAATCAGAAGAGGCATCCTGGGCATCCTGGGTCTCCCCCAGTCTGAGGCGGGAGAAGGTGAGAGCAGCATAATGGAGTTCCTCTGGATTATGCTCAGAGACTGGGGCCTGAGAGGATGATCTGGGGCCTGGGCAGCCAGGAGGTGTTACATGTGGCTCCTCCTGGTTCTTCTTTGATTTAGGGGACTGAGCGTCCAGGGGCGGGACCCTGGAAGGAGTTTCTGGCTTGGCCTTGCAATTCCGAGCCTGAGGAGATAGCAAACATCCTTCATTTACTAACTCAGCAAGCAGTTGTACACCTAGCATTTGCCAGACACTGACTTAGGAACTGGGGCTCTAGCTTTGGGGGAACAAAAAAGGGAAAAAACAGCACATAAACAATGATGTAATAAAGGCAAGCATGAATGCTGTGAAGAAAAAAATAAAAAGCAGGGGTTGGAGCTGGAGAGATGGCTCAGCAGTTAAAAGTGCTTGCTGCACTTCCAGAGGACCCAAGTTTGCTTATCAGCACCCTCTTCTGGCAGATTCTACCCACCTAACTTCAGAGAATCTGAACCTTCTTTTGGCCCCTACAAAACTGCACCTATGCCTTCCCAGCTCTCTTCATATTCAGGAGAACCAGGCCTTAAGCCTAAGTCCTAGAGCTGCTATTTTCAGGCCTAGACACAGTCCAGACTCAAGAAACAGGCCTAAATGAAACCTTTTTACCATCCCTTTAGCTAAAAGGACAATAAATGTTCATAGCAGTTTCAACTATGTCTCATGGTAAATAACTAAATACAAAGGTCCCTCTCTAAAAACATATTTGAGAGATGTCTTAAGGTTGGTAAACATAAGTTATACATGTTCGAGAGTCTAAAAATGTGTCTTAAGGTTGGTAATGCAACTTGTAAATGTTTGAGGGTCTAAAAAATGTTTTAAGGTTGGTAAATGCAAGTTATAAAGGTTACAAGATCTAAGGTGATTTAAGGTATCTTAAATAGGTAAAAAGGCTTAATATTTCTTCCTGTTGTTATGCTACTGTTATATTGACTGTCCAGAGTTTTGACCTTTATTAATAGGACTCTAATGTATTAATCTAACTCTGATACAAAAACATTCCACTATACCACTATTCCACTACTATGGTCCTAAGCTCAAGATTGCAAGCCTCCATAATGTCTATGCTTATACTAAAGTTAAGATCAAGTGAGTTTCCCTTTTACTTCATAAAAGGCTTTTGCCTTTTCAGAGTTCACCTTAAAAAGTACTTATGCCGTTAACACATATGTCTACTGCCTTTTTCTCAATGCACAGTACAATTGTGATACGAACATGTCAAAATTTTATCTCCTTCTTAAAACTTAAAAGTAATTCTTGTAAGCTGCAAAAAGTCCACCTAAATCCACCTCTCAGGTCAATTGGACTACCGATAAGTACTATCTCAAAAGGTAGGGAAAGTCCCCTTTCCCTGGTTTTGGGACTTCCTTTCCTGGCTACCAGACTGCTGTTTACTGCATGCAACCACTGGCTGGATTGGTGAGTTCACTCCATTTTCTCAGCATAAACGCCTCTCTTGGTGGGGGAAGCTTGACCACAGAGCTCTGGCAACTTCCTACTATCTTTTGAGACAGAAGAACCCCCCTCAGCCGTAGCCTTAATTGTCTAGGTTTGACCCTCTATGCTGACCTCCATTTTAGGGCCACATTCTCCCTTGGGTGGTACGTCCCCTCTCACAGATGGTTCCTCTCCCCACTCGATTGCCCTCTTACCCGTTCATGGGAAGACCTAGCGCTAGGCAAACCATCGTGCTTCGGCCGTGCCTCACTGGGCACTGTGCCCCAGTCCCTGGCCAAGAGCTGACGAGCTATTGACCAGGCAGGACCCGCACTCGGAGTCACACTTTCCCTTGGGAAGCCACTGGAAGGTCTTGACTTCTCTGCCCCCAGTGGGAGATGCCCAGATGCCCGTCCCTCCAGACAGGCTGGAGAATTTCAGCTTTCTACACCTAGTGTCAGCTGGCACCAGGGCCTCTAAGTTCACATGCTTCTGTAACCAAACCTCACCTCAATGACAGGTCGAAAACAAAGCCTTTTTTAAATATTGCCAGTGATTGGGTAAATAAAGGTCCCTCCAGGTAGACAGAGGTTCCCATGTACAAGCCTCCTCGATCCAAACCTTTCAATGTATACCTACAGGATTTTCTCCCTACTCAACTTTATCTTTTGCCTATATATGTGTTTCAGTGTCCTGCCAGACACAGATGTTTCCTATAGCCACAACAGCACCAAAGCAGCTACAGGTGTTCAACTCTGACTTCATGGACTTCCAACAAGCTGCAGGTGTTCAGCTCTGACCTCACAGACTTTCAACAAGCTGCAGGTGTTCAACTCTGACCTCACAGACTTCCAACAAGCTGGACCTGCACCTTCCCTCCCATCCATGGATGTTCTTGCAGACCCTGGAAAGCATCAAAGCAGTCTATTCTTCCTGGACTTGGCCAACATTTCAGCCTTTGACCTCCCTACAGCGTCCCCAGTGTCAGCAGGACGTAGCCAGAAAAGAATCTATGCCCGTTATTCACTTGTTGTTAACAAAAGGCTGAAATGGTGTGCTTCAGGACCAGGACAAGTGGCTCCTGGTTCTCCCAGTGTTCCCCAGTCTCTACCTGATGCCTTGCATGGCTGGCAACTCTCTCTATTGACAACCCTTTACCCTAAATTTTCCAGGGCAGAGGCTTCCCCTACTCTTGACCTTGCAATCTGACCATTTTGTTGCTATAATTCTTCTCTCTCTCAACCTCTTGCATGACAACCAAGAGCTGCTTCCAATGAGCCTAAATTTATATACTTTAACTTACCTTATAAAAAGCAGCCCAAGCTCCCATTTTTAATTATAGAAAAAGGGAGGAATGTTAGTATTTTGGAACACAAGCTGCTTCTGGGTTGCCCAACAACCTATGACGTCATCATATGTCGCCAGCCAGGTGGTCACACCTGGAGGGCGTGGTTATCGTGTCCCTTAAAAGGGCCGATCCGACACGTGGTCTCTCTCTTACTCTTACTCTTACACTCTTCTCTTTCTCTTTCTCTGGGGCGCCCCATCCCTCCTTTCCCTCTCTTTCCCCACCATGCCCTGCTACCCACTTCCTCCATACCCCCCTAATAAACCTCTTGCAGAGAATACTGCTTGTCCCCCTGCTTCTTCTCATTTTTAGTTTTTAACAAACACTACTAAAGAAAAGTTAAAATTGGAAATTAAAAGAACAGGATTGTCTGTGATGACCACACGGTCAGTCTTGTAAGACACAGGTGGAAGCTGCCTGCTGTGAAGTCCCTGAAGATGGCATCAGAAATCCAAAGTAGGGAATCGGGGTGCTTTGAGCTGTGATTTTTCTTCACCTTTATGTTTTGGAATGATCAAAGAGTTATGGAAGTATCGGAAGTAGGCCCAAGTGATGACGAAAAAAGGGGGAGGAGCAAGGCATATGAGCCCAGGCAGATGACTTCGAGTTCTATGTTTAATCAGTAGGATGCACCATCTCACAAGGACATCAATAATTATTATGTAGGGCTGAGGATAATGTTCAGTGGTGCAGAACTTGTCTGGCATCTACCAAAGAGAGACTGGAAGTGTGGCTCAGTGGTAGAGTACCTGCTTAGAATCCCCCAGTGAGGGGATGAGTACGCCAGGCATGCATATGGCTCTGGGTTCTATCCCCAGCACAGCAACTACAAATTAAGTAGTTACACGTAGTTAGTCATGTGCTTGGTGGTGACATAATGGAAGAAATGGAAGCCACCTATGGAAAGGTTCTGTTCTGTTCCTTAGGCTTTGAAACAGGAAGATGTGAGGGTCTTAAGGGAGCCAGGGTTTGGACTTGGTCTTGGATGCTTTACCCACCTTTGTGTCTCTAAGGCAAAGCTGCAGGAGGTTAGGGAAGGGGATGGGACAGAATTAGAGGGAGTACTGACTTTGAAAGCCCAGTGGGCAACTCACCAGGGACCTGGTCTTGGGGAACACATTGATGTAATCCAGGACTGTGCTGCCGCGTGACAGCTTGGGTCTCAAGGTTTTGTCGTGGGATCCTTTCTTCTGTAGGGTCTTCACACTGAGGAGAGGGCGTCTGCCTTGCTATGTACCGTTCGGTCTGCCCTCTCCTGGGAGGCCCAGATCCCCGCTCCCTCATCAGTTCCTTCCAACTCACATGATCATGATGAGGCAGAGGGCGAGGAGGGCTGTAATGCCAAAGCCCAAAACTGCTCCCTTGGAGAATGCTGAGGGACTGTCCTTATCTGCAAAAGAATGAGCATTTCCCATGCCTACAGCACTGGGCACTCTGGACTCCAGTCCTACTGCATACTGTGCTTAAGCTCCTTCCTTTTTCCTTCTAGAAGACATGTCTGCATCCTAGGCTGGGCATCTTTGCTCTAACCACAGAGCCCCGCTGCAGACCCCACTTAGCTATAGAGAATACCCCCTCCATAGTCCCCTGGTCCCAAAGGGTCCTTACCAGGCAGCAGTAGGACAGAGGCGGTCTGGGCCCCATGGGTGTTCCTGGCCTCACAGCTGAGCCAGAGGCTGGGCCCCACCTCCCCAAAGAGGCTCACAGAGCTGTTGACCCAGGGCCCAAGTGAGCTGGAGGTGACCTTGAAGGAGGCATTGCTGCTGTTCCCCTCCAGCAGCCCCTCCCCCAGCCGCCAGCGCAGGGAGGGGGCAGGCCAGGCCCTGGAGGAGCAGCGGCAGTGCAGGCCCTCAGCCTCCCAGGAGCAGGAGGGGCTAGACATCTGCGGAGGGTCTGTGGGGAAGGAGAAGGGTCAGCAGGCGGCCCTCATCACAGGTCCCAGGTGGCCCTCCCCCACTCACAGTGCACAGAGAGGCTCAGGGAGATGCTCCGGGCACCCAGTGGGTTCTGTGCAGTACAGGTGAATTCCCCTTCGTGTTCCCTCTGGACCAGAGGCAGCTCCAGCACCCCAGGCTCTGAAGACTGCGTTGGGATCAGGGTCTGTGTCCCCCCAGCCCAGCTCAGACTGGCCGGGGGGTTGCTATAGGTGACACAGACTAGGTACAGGCTCTGGCCCTCCAGGACTGCGAGGGAGGTGACATTCCTGAGGATTTGCAACACTGGGGAGGACAGGAGGCAGAGTCAACAGGAGGCTCATCAATTGACGCCTCCCATCCCCCACCCAGATGTCCAGCTCCCTTTGCCCATCTATCTACCTGTCCTGTTCGCTTGGGAAACAGTTACTCTCAGGTCCTCTGGGGGATCTGCAATGAAGACAGGGAACTGGCTCCAGGCAGGCCAGGGCCTTCTCCCTGGGCAGAGCATTCCTCTCCTCCCAGCAATGGAGGCCAGGGGTGGGCAAATCCCTCACACAAGCAGCACAGCTGCACAGTGATGAGTGTTATAACCCTGTCCCTCCCTGTCCCTTCCTTCCCCTCCTCAGGACCAGGAGCCTTCCCTAGGTCACACTCACACAACACAGAGAGGTCCAGGGTACGTTGCTGGGACCCCAGCATGTTCTCTGCTTGGCAGGTGTAGCGTCCAGTGTCTGCAGCTTTTACCCAGCGCAGCTCCAGTGCCAGAGATCTGGAACCCACAGGGCTGGACCAAGAGAGGACTCGGTCCTCCAGGGCCCAGCTCAGTGCTGCAGGGGGCTGACTGTCAGCAGTACAGAGGAGGTGCAGAGACTGGCCTTGCTGGACTTCCAGATGTGGAGTGTCTCCAGGCAATTCTGCGACTAAAGAGACACACATGGAGAGGAGACAGAGACAGTGACAGAGAGAGAGAGAGGCATGAGGAGAGCAGTAGAGAGACACAGAAATATAGAAACAGAGGAAGAGGAGGGCCATAGAGATAGAGATGGATACAGACATAGAAATAGATAGACACAGATAGAGATAAAGATGGGCAGAGAGACAGAGATAAGGAAAGGGAGAGGAAGCAGGACAGAGGGTAGGGGGCAGCAGAAAGAGTTCAGGCCTGCCCCCACTTCTCTGTCCCTCTTGTCATTTCTCAAAGAGGACTGGGCCAACCTTACACCACCCCAGGAGACCCTCGTACCTGACACATTGTCACGGAAAATGCTGATAGCAAGAGATCTGGGGGCATCTGGGAGAAGATTATATGTCAACTTCAGAGGGGAATAGTATCTCAGCGAAAGAAAAGCGCCACCATCCCAGGGAAGACAAGTGAGCAGCCAGAAACGAAGCAACCATTGCCTCCCAGGGTGCGGGCACACCACAGGCGCACCCAGGATGGTGTGCCCGCATCCCTCCTTTTTGAACGTATGTGGTGAACATGCGTATGTGTACGGGTACACATTGGTGTGTGGGGCGTTGAGGTAGGGTGTCTTCCTGGGTCACCGCCCACACTGTTTGCCCAGTCAAGGTCTTCCACTGAGTCAGAGCTTGCCAGTGAGGTGGCCAGTCTTCCCAGCTAACTTTCCTCAGGCCCCGCTTGTTCTGCACCCCGCTCCCCCCACAAAGTGAAGAAGTTGCCAGTAGGGCCACAATGCCTGACCAGCTTTTACGTGTGTTCTGAGGGTTCACAGTCCATTCCACACACTTGTGTGTCAAACTCTTTATCAGCTGAGACATCTCTTGTCCTTCGAGACAAGATCTCATAGATTCTGGTCTGCATATGTCCTGTGCAGCCAAGGATGACCTAGATCTCCTGAGCCTCTTGCCCTCACCTCCCAAGTGCTGGCAGACAGATGGGCAACACCACCTCTCGTTTATGTGGTGCTGGGGATGGAAGCCAGGGCCTCGTGCATGCCAGGCAAGCACTCTACCAGCCAAGTCACATCCCCAGCGCACCGCCATGAACTCTCCCGAGCGTGGAGCTGGGGGACTCTCCACCTCCCACCGCCCGAACTCTACCTAGCCCCAAATACCACATCACACTCACAGGCCACGCTTAGTCGGACAGTCCTTTGCATGTTCTTCCTAGAGAACTCCAGCCGACACGTGAGCTCGGTGTCATGGTGCTCAAGTCTCGCGGTAAAGCTCAGCACAGAGTAATAGGAGAATTGCTGTCTGGGTTCTTGGGTGGAGACAGCAGCCCCCGTCCAGGAGAAAGAAGGAGCTGGGCATTGCTCAGAGGTCCAGGAAAACAGGCAGACAGCTGTCACTGGATGCCCAGGCTCCAGGATCTCAGGGATGAAGATATCTGGCTTCTGAGTCAGGGCTGAGGGAGAGGGCACCAACGCTGTGGCTCCAGCTGCTGCTCCCAGGAGCTGTCTTCTTTGCATCAGAGTTTATATTCCAGTGCCCCTCCCCCAGGGAGAAACAGGGAGTCCCTGCCTGTTATGTTGACCTCTTACCTTCCACTTGCAGAGTGAACCCATCCAGAAAACTGAATTTCTCAAATCCTCTCTCTATCCGGAAGAAATACCTTGCCGCGTCTCTCCAATACACATCTTTGATCAGCAAGGAACAGTCCCTTTTGAGGAGATCCCCAAGGAGCTGGAATCGCCCCTGGGTTCCTGGTTCTAGCAATTTGTTTTCATTATTTGTGGCCACTGGAAAGTCAAGTGATGGTTTTCTGATTTCTTTGAACCAGTAGCCATAAGCTGAGAAAGCATTATACCAGCGGGCCTCAGGGGAGGAGAAAGAGCAGGGCACCAAAATGCACAGACCCTCCTGTGCCTTCACGACTCTCTTCACCTGTAGGACATAGTCTCCCGCCTGAAGTTGAGACCCTGTAGGAGACAGAGGCTTAACCTGCGACCCCAGCCCCAGCCCCAACCCCAGCCCCAGCCCCAGTTTGGGTCACTCTGGCCTCTGGCCTACTCACCACACAACAGCAAGGACAGCAGAAGCAGCAGCAGTGACATCATAAAGAGGCCTCCTTCCCCATCTGGTCGGTGTTTGACTGGGGTGAAAGAGAAGGGGAAATATCGGCGGAAGCTGAGCGCTGGGAAGTGGTGCAAGACGCTGATGGCAAGTTGTGAGGCCGTTGATCTTTTTCTTTCTCTCCACTCCCCCCACATCCACTTGCCCACTGCATGTGTTGTGGGAAATTTGGAACTGGTCCTTCCCAGCCAAGTCTTCCTTCCCAGCTGGGAAGGAAGGGACAGGGCTATGTCTGGCCTGGGGACCTGGGTGTGGGTGGTTGTAGGTTGGGGGCTTTCCTTTAGGTGCTAGGTCAGTGAGAAAGCAGAAGTAAAAGTTTTGGTTGGTGCCTTTTGAAGGGAGTCCTTGTGGGTGCAGGGGAATGAGACTTCCTGGCCAAACTGATGTTCAGATTTTTTAAAAATGGGTAATCATTTTATTTCTTGGTAGGAAAATGTCCCAAACACTTGTTGGATTCTTCTCATGCCAAAAAAAAAAAAAAAGTTTCTTTTGTCTGATGTTCAAATGTAACTGGGTATTTCTTACTGCACTGTTTTTCTTTCCTTGTGCTAACTCGGGAAGTACAGACTTGTCTTAGTCTACCGCTTCATCGCCCCTGGCGTGCGACTGACCTTCTGTTGCAGCCTGCTGTTTGAGACAAAGCCTCAGCCATCTTTGTCTTCAGCTTCCATTTTGTTTCTAAGGGGAAATTGAGTTCAAAGTTTTAAACTTTTCAACTCTGCTTCCTAGAAGTGGTTGTTCATAGCTGACCTTGTGATTCAATAGTGTCACAACTCATACTTGGCTATCTATACACTTGGCTACAGTCTGGTTGCACTCTTGTTATCTATACAGCTGGTTGCAGTCAGTTGTATAGAGTGGAAAACCTTCACTCACCTCACCTAGAACCAATCAGCTTAACGGTTAGCTGATAATATTTTGTCTGGCTAGCCAGAAACGTAATATTGCTTTGTACTGCTCCTACCATGTCTCTTGCATTTGGTTAATTTTCTATAAAAAGCCTGTTGTGAGGTCTTGTAGATGTCACAGGTAGGCTCCCGAGTCCGTACTGTGGCCCTGATCGATCAGCCTGGAAAAGACGTTCCAATAAACCATCCATACCTAACTGAGACCAGAGTCTGGGTAGTTTGTGAGGCTATTCGTATACCAGAACACTTTGAACTCCAGCAGTACCCATAGTCTTCAATACTATTCCCCATTTTTCTTTCCTCTTTGGTCAGAGAGCTGAAGATCCTGCTTGTAATCTCTGCATTGATGAGGCTTTCCATATCTGGGGCTGACACTGGTACTAGGAATCCAGGAACCCCAAAAGCCAAAGGGTGTGCAGTGTGTGTGTTTCCCAAAGGCTCCTGTGTTTGAAGCTTGATTCCTGGTGTTGCTGCTTTGAAAGTTCATGGAACCTTTGGGGCAGGGTCAAAGGTTAACAGAGGTGGCTCACTGGGATGGGGCAGGTCTCCAAGGATTAGAGGGCTGCCTTGACGCCTTTCCACACCTGAGTGGAAAGATGCCTCCTGCTCTCAGCACAGAAAGGAGCCAGTCGGTCCCCACATCCTGCTTTCCTTGCCACAGTGGGCTGCGCTCTCTGACCTGTGAGCCAAAATGTTTCCTCCCTGAAGTTTCTTCTGTGCAGTATCTGATCACAGCAGTGAAAAGAGCAACTGAGATTTTCTTTAAGATGCTGCCCTGTTACCTGGTCTTCCTTTTAAAGAAAGATTTATTTTACTTTTACTTCTGTGTGTTTGTGTATGGATTTTGTGTGTGTGTGTGTGTGTGTGTGTGTGTGTGTGTGTGTGTGCAAATCAGTGCAGTCACCGTTGGAAGCCAGATGTTGGATCCTCTGGAGCTGGAGTTACAGGCAGTTGCGAGGCGCCTGGCATGGGTTCTGGGAACCACATTCTGGTCTTCTGGAAGAACACTATGACTCTTAATCACTGAGCCCTCTCTCTAGCACCCTTACCCGATCCTTCCCAAAATGATTCTTTGTGCTCATCATCAACCTCTGTGCATTTGTGGATCCAGCACAGTGCTTGATGGGAGAGGAGTACAACAGTGAACTCCACAAGGTGTCTGACCTGAGGAGTATCTGGCTTGGCAAATAAAGAATCTATAAACTTCAAAAGCCCATAATATGGGGGTTCTGGGCCTAGCATTCATGACAGGCTTTATGGATGGAGTGCTCATTTATTCCTGTTCAAAAGAAAACACAACAGCTATCCTGGAGGAAGTGACCATTAGCTGTTTCTGCCTGAATCCCTTTAAAAATAACGTTTTATTTATTCTTTGAAAGAAATCATATATTTATACACTGAATACTGATCATATCTACCCACCACCAATTACCTCCAAATACCCCTAGTATTCCCCCATCCTCCCCATGCTGTGTAGCGTATGAAATTTTCTACCCTCTAGGGGAGCTCATTAGGGGTTCTAAGAAGAGATGAAACATGCCATTCTGTAAAGAAGCTTGTTAAGTTCAGAAAACATACAACTCAAAGGCTTCAGGAAGTCTCTGAAACATAGCAAACTCATTAGCTCTCTCCTTCTCTAGGCGTACAGAAGCAGTAAGGGCTTCTGAGAGGTACTCTCAGACAAACTGGGCATCCTAAAGAGGCTCAGCCCACCTGAGCCACCCAGAAGAAGCAGGGACCTGGTGAACTGCTTGGAAGAGACACTCTCCTGTTGAGTGTCTGTGAGTTGTGTGGCTCGCTTATCGGGTGGTTGTTGCACAGCTGCCAAAAGTTTCTCCACCAGGGACAGAGCCCTAGGCTCTTCCCCAGCCGTTGCTGGGGTGGAAGTTTTCCTGGCTTGATCTTTGCACCATGTTTGGTTCTCATGTTCGCTGGATTGGCTGGTGTGAAATATGGTAGGAAAATATGTTGGTCTCTGGGTTTTGCTTCAAGAGATACAACCAGTCACGGACTAAAAGCATAAATAAAGTGTCTATCCAGAGTATGCAAAGTTTGCCCTGACCAATATTCCCCTAATACTAAAGCATGCACAGAGCTTACACTGTGTCAGGGATCACACACAATTCAGAAATGTCTTAAAGTACATGGGCTGACATACAGAGGCTGCTTGCCAGCACTATTTCCTACTATCTGTCTGCTACTATCATCCATTCGCCCACCCACCCACCCATCTATCCATTCATCCATCCATCCATCCATCCATCCATCCATCCATCCATCCACCTACCTACCTACTTACCTACCTACCTACCTACCTACCTACCTACCTACCTACCTACCTACTTATCTAATGCTATGAATGTAGGCTGGGCAGCTGGGAACTTGCTATTTAATTCAAACTGACCTTGAACACAGGATTCTTCTGCTTCAGCCTCCCGAGTGCTGGGATTATAGGCATGCACACCACATCCATAGTGTCATTGTTAGCTCCAGCTGCTACTTGCCACACCCGGGAAAAGGAAACCTCAACTGAGGAATTCCCTTCATTGAAATGGCCTGTGGACGCATCTATGGAATATTTTCTTAAGCTGGTCCAGGCTGCCTTGGGCAGTGCCATTGCTGAGTAGTTGGTCCTGGGCTATATAAGAGAGCAAATTGAATAAGGCAGAGGGAGCAAGCCGGCAAGCAGCACTCCTGAATAGTTTCAGCTTCAGTTCCCTCAATGTCCCTGCCTTGGCACCCACAGTGATGGATTGTGGCATGAGAATGTAAGCCAAACAAACCCCTTCCTCCCCCAGGTTGTTTTAGTCAGTGTCTTTTTTATTATTACATTTTTACATATTAATTACAGTTTATTTACTTTGTATTCCAGCTGTAGCCCCCTCCTACATCCCCTCCCAATCCCATCCTCCCTCCCTCATCTCCTCCCTGCCCCTCTCTAAGTCCACTGATAGGGGAGGTCCTCCTCCCCTTCCATCCGACCCTAGCTTATCAGGTCTCATCAGAACTGGCTGCAATGTCCTCCTCTGTGGCCTAGCAAGACTGCTCCTCCCTCGGGGGTGGGGAGGTCAAAGAGCCCGCACCACAGATCTCTCTGAGATGTTTCACGTGCTGAACATGAATCTACAGAGAAGCAAAAGATGTGTCATGTGACTCAGGTGTTAGAGGGATGGAGACATAAATCTTTCATGATGGCTGACATTGCAGTCATGTATGGTCAAAAGACAGCAGTTTCCCCAGACCCTAGCTTATCTTCTTGGGTCTCCACGTGGTGGGAACACCACGGGAGTCCAGCTACCGCTGGCATGAAATGTCTGTCACATACAAGTGGGTGGCATGCCCTGGAGACATAGCACTGAGCCTCGGCAGAGATGGCTGAAGATTACAGAGAACAGCCCCTTCCTGCTGCTGGTCCATTTTCCAGCTCTGATTAGCTGCAGGTTTTCTCAAAAGCATCCTTAACACCCACAGTGCCCACTGCCTCACCTCTCTTTCTTTCTTCGGGTACTGCCCAGGGGAATTTCTTCCAACCCAGCTCCTAGACCTTTGAGAACCAAGATCATCTTGATTGCCTCAGTTAAATACCAGGTTAAATACCAGCATCATGCTCACCCCAGCCCCCTGCTCCGGTCACACCTGAGACTGACTCTCAGTCCCCTCCTTGACAACTCACCTGTGACCACAGGACCCAGCTCTGGACTCTGCTCAGTGGCTTCTCTTCCCAGTTTTCTTGCTTCTTCTACCTCATGTCCCTGACTTTGAATGGCGGAGGGTTTAATGCATTTTATGTAGGCTTTCCTTGTATGTGTGGTTTTAACCACTTTAGACCTGGATGTGGGGAGTCCCCAGATTCCATCCAATTTGGACCCCTCCCCTGACTCCATGCTCTGGATTCTACTGTCCATCTCCATCTGCATATTGTTGGCCATTCATGCCAACTCAAGCAGCAGGGAAGTGTTCCCTTTGTAAACTTTGTAAACCCTCGGAAAGTAGCCAGGACCCTGCCTGAGGAGTTCCAGCAGCCAGGCCCACCCCCCACAGACTTCCCTAATGGCCCTATGCTCATTTTCTAAGGGCTGTACCTGTCTTTCCCAGCCCCAAGGCAGAAGAGTGCCCAAACCTTACCCTACAAGAAAAATCCCAGTAATCTCTGAACAGGAAAACCCACTAATCCCTGAGGACTTGAAATCCCACCAATCCTCACCCAGGAAAGCACCCCATCCCCCCACTCCAGGAAATCCTATGTAAGCCCTGCCTTTTGTTCAGTTCCCTGTTGTCTACTCCCGGGTGA